ATTATCTGCCTTTAGTACTGCCATGGATTCCATCTGCTTAATATCTTCTTCTGAAAGGTCAGTCAATAAACAACAAAAAAGAATGAGAGTTTTTAATGATTTCAATTTGTAGATGCTTCTAGGAAGAACGCTCAGGAATTTGCAGTATTCTAGATTTACCAAAATAATTTTTTTTAGATCTCTAATGCTCTGGTGAACTATCTTCAAGCTCAGACAATCTTTAAGCACTAGCTTTTCAAGGTTTGGTATGCTTATAAAATCAGGAGTTTGTCTCAAGTAAGGTGAATGACTAAGAATGAGGATTGTCAAACACTGCAACAACTACAAAAAATGAAGTTCAATGTGAAAAATTAACCCAAACTATAATATTGACGGCTTAAAACATTTGAAAAGGCAGGAAAGACAAATTCATACTTAGGGTTTCTTCCAAACTACCCTGAGGTTGATGTATTTGAAGTCAATAGCAACTAAGTTTTTCTAGTACAAACAGTCAAGTATGGATTTTAAAGGAAATCCATACCGATAAAGCCGCCTTAGCTTATTGGAAAGATACGCCTATAATCTCCTTTAAGATTTACATACTCTAATTGGAGCAATCTAAGTTTTCTTATTGTCTTGAATGCCTCAGAATCAATCTCACACACTTCATGGGGCTTCTTTAGGGATATGCCCTCAATAACTTTTGTTTCCTATTAAAACATATGATAAAAACTTTATGAAAAGAAGAGGCATTCCCTATTTACTAAGAGAACGACAATACATAAATTATATATGATGTTTATGACAAAGGGTATATGGAACTCGTAAATTGGAGCAACAAAAAGGAACAAAGTACATAACTTTTGTTTTTTGGCATAAAAACCAATGCATATTTCCTGACATCAAAGCCTGCAAAAGAAAATAGGACATGAAAGATATTCTTACCTTATTTTGTATTAACACTTTAGTTACATCCTCCTGAAACCACAATCTACTCCGATCTTGAGGATCCTTTCGTGGGCTTTTCCAAATGATTTCTCTTCCCATATTACGTAATAAGTCATGCATTTCAAGCTTGTTATTGTTCCTATTAACATTTATTAGGCTAGCTCAATGAGAGTTGTTATTCTAATTTCTGCATTAAATCCACATCCATTTAATATATGTGCCGCATAGTTTCTATCCGTGTTAATCAAAAAGCAACATATGTCAAGAAATATATTCTTCTCCATATCATCCTTTAAACCATCAAAACTTATTTTTAACTTTGCTTGTATCTCATCATTCGGAATCCTTCATAGTTTAGACAACACATCCTCCCATGCTTCAATTTTTCTGTCAAACAAATAAGAACCAAGCACTTCGAGAGCCAGAGGAAGTCCACTATAGTAAGCAACTACATTTTTAGAAAGTTCTGTGAAGCTTTCAAGGGGAGCTTCTCACTTAAAGGCATGCCAACTGAAAAGCTTGAGAGACTCAATTTCATTCATTGTTCTCATTCTATACTTGTGTTCAACTCTAATGACACTAAGTAGATGCAGATCTTTGGTTGTTATGACTAAACCATTTAGGACTTCCACATAATGCATTCAACTGATTGACGCTATCCACATCATGCAATACAACAAGTGCTTTTATGTTGGGAAATCTTTCTTGAATTATTCTTTTCTCTCTGTCAATGTTAGGTCTCTTGAAAACTTCTGTTTTAATGATATCAGAAATGAGTTGCTTTTGCAAATTAATTAGGTTATTAAAATGCTTTGAATTTTCTCTTATACTTACAAGAAAGCTTCTTGCTCTTCTAAACTTATAACCAATTGTATTTGTAAAAGGCTTTGGCAACTGTAATTTTGCCAACGCCTCTCATCCCCCAAAGGTTGATGATAAGAGCTTTTTGAAATCTCTTTTTGGATGATTTACTTGCCACTTTCTAAACTCGAGGCTCTATTCCCACTGGATGCTCAGCAACAAACAATTGTCCAATATCTACTTTCTCTAAAACATCCTTCACACTGGTATCAATCAGCTTACCTTCAGACATGTCAATAATAAATGTCCGTGAAACAATATAATCAGCCACATAAATAGCACCATTATCAGAAATAAAACCAACAAGACTTACTTTCAAACAGAAGAATTTTAGTGCGCCATGAAGAATAAGAGATGGACCAATTTAGCTATTAAATATGTATAAGCATCGTAGGAAAACTTTCGAGTGTTGGATAAATGAGTGGGCATTAACTGCTGGAACAGGAAAGGAGAAGGCTTCAAAAGAAGGCCAATGGCACAACAGCACTATTGGGGCTCTGTTGACACTCAGTTTTTAGCTCTACATATATTTTTAATTGTCTACTCATATTTAGCACAGAATTACAGAATTACATTACAATTAGTTATTTGTCCAAAAATTGTTTCCACCATATGAAAAAAAGTTATTTGTCCAAAATATTAGAATTAAGTATTTGTCCGTGGCTGCAACAGCAAAACAGGCAACACAATTATAATAATTACTCCAACATTTTCAAGTGCACAATGAATTTATAGCGGTAACTTTCAAAACTCAGATAAATTTATTATAAAAATAAAAATAAATTATACAAACTGCATTTGATTTTTTTTAAATGCATAAATTTTACTTTTATTTTCTAGACATATATAGCCTGCGTTTAACATATATAAAAAATTATAAAAGATTTCAAATTTTCACTAAATTATATAATTTTTTTATTGAATTCCATTTTAATTTTAAAAATAAAATTATGAAGGCATTCTGAGTGTGACCCATCGTCATTTGACTCACCCCCCTCCCCTTCCAATGAGAGCTGGTTTGGAATACATTACCGATATGATGCGGAATCAAAGCCGGAAAGGTTGCTGATTTCCGTGGGTGCCTGCCTCCACCGCAACACCCTGCGATCACTGCCCCCTCCCAACCTCTGCTGGTGTCGTTCCATCGCTTCACCTTATCATATCTTTAGTGTTTCCTCATTCACTCGATAATACGAGGTAACCTGCAACTGGGACGGGTTAGGACTAGGCAATATTGAGTTAAAAAGACTTGTGTGATGACCGATTGTCTTCAAGTAGCAAAATATTTTTAAGTGACTATGCTGGTAGTGAAAGAAATCTAGTAGACTCTTCAATTTGCCATATAAGTGCCACCTGAAGTTTTTTATTAATATTTTACTAATTTACGTTAATTACCACCAAAACACAAAATTGTTCATAGAAGATTAATAACGACAACCAAATACCAGCATAATTAACTTAACTACATCACAAGAAATAACAACTATCCAATGTGATTACATTTATAACTATTGACTCAAACTATATATATAATCTTGTGTTTAAGATGATAAAAAATATGTTGCCAACTTGTTTAATTAGCATAATTAAATAAAGAAGAAAGTTATGCAAAACAATAAAGCAAAAGATTCAATGAACTAATCGTTATATCGTTGAAACGTATAAATACACCATTCTTCAATTACTTCATTTATTTGGTTGTTGTTGACTTGTTGTACTCTGCGCAATGTGCACCATCATAATACTGCAACATAATTAGAACAGCATGTTAGATGATTTTAAGTATAGTATTTGAGTGAATAATTTTTACTTTATAAGACTTGGGTAGTTTTTTTTTTTTTTACTGTTTGTAGTATATAGGTAGATTTGCCCATTTGGACTCTTATAAATGAGTCGTACTCCCTTCTCCATCATAGAGCAGCCAGCTGAAGTAAAATTAGTAAATTTATTTAAAAAATTAAATTAAATTTCTAAATTTTAGTATATTTACAATAATAAATCATATCTTGCAAATTAAAAAAAATATCACATTAATAATAAAAAAAGGCTTACAATGTAAAAAGTACAGCATTAGAATACAAATGAGAACATCAAGTAGCAAAATATTTATAAGTGACTATGCTGGTAGTGAAAGAAAGCTAGCAGACCAATATCTTGTTGAAATCGTGCTTGCAGCTCTTGGGGGAAAGTCTTTTCTTTCCAGCTATTGAAAGGTGCAAATCTTTAATTTCAGAGGATAATAATCCATATTAATAAAGCTCGAAGACATCCAAGTGAAAAATCTCATCCAGTTAAATCTTAGAGACATATATATGCAAAACAAATTTAATTAATATAGTTTACTTGTTGACTTGTGAAAAATAGGATGCAGGAAAGTCTGATATGGGAATAAGAAATTAATGTTGGAGAATAAAGAACCATTTGACTTTGCCGCGTTAGTATATTGGTATTCTTTATGTAGCTTGCTAATTTGCAAGGGACTCTGACGACGCCTATATTTAAACAAATAGCACAGCAGTACTTTTATTATGCCTATGGCTGCCCTTGTGATCCATCAGAAAACTAATTAAAACAGAGCAAACTCTATGCATATCTATCTATCTTTGTGATCCTTTTATACATTGGCCATTCCTAGGTGTAATATTTGTTTTAACATTACCCTTTCAGTATCCTGTGTAAATTTTTGCAGAACAAAGATTGAAATAAAGTCAACCTGTCAGAGTAGTAAAGTGAAACAAGAAGTCATTGATGAAGTTATTTGATACAGGAGTTACCTCGAAGGACCAAAATGGAATTTTACTTATTGTTTGATTATGATATTCAAATATAAATTGAGGTTCCCCTGTTATAACAAAATAAAAACGCCTGCATTATTCTTTTATCTTCTTGACAGGCCCCCAACATGTGAGGCCACCTCATTACATCTGCATTTAAACTGCAACGTACTTGAAATTTGTGGTGCAAGGTCAAGGTTTCCGATTCTACTGTGCTTTTCTTGAAAAAAACTGTTTAAAGGATGACAAATGCTGTTCAGAAATATGTTTCTTGAAATTTATGGATTGATCTCTGATTTTATATTCCATGTTTTTGGTAGACTTCAAATTGGTTACTCTGAAAATTTAAAAATCTGAGCTTCCAACATTCATATTGTATTAAGAGAGATGATCTTCAAATCGCGATGTTGGAATGGAAAGCTTCTATCAGTCAATAGATAACTTAAAAACAACAATAATCTTTTCAAAGTCCAATTCACCCATCTGAGTCTTCACACACAAGCAGTCAAACACACTACATTGTCGAACATATCACGACAGATTTTGAAAGGGAAAATGGCAGGTAGGATCAGCTTTAGCAGGATAATGACGGTTAATGACCCTGAAACTTGAAAATGCCAATTGAAGATCAAGGTCATTTCCTAATTAGGAAAATTCTAAGAATCAAAATGCTCTAGCTGACTAGTAAAAATCTTGGCTGAAATCTGTAGCAATTGGCAGTTTGAAATTTTGGGCTCCTCAATTGTCATTATCTTGCTTAAAAATCCCGTAGTCGTTATTTTCCCTTTCTAAAAATTACAGCCTACAGCAGAAGTACCGAGGATATATTACAAACCGGGATCAATTTGTGCAACAATTATTTCAATAACCTGCGACGCTTAGAACCGTCATAAACCAGGTATGCTGCAATCTTCTTCACATGAAATTGAGGCCCAATACTTATAATAAGCTGCACGATGTCACCAGGTTGAAAACTTGAAATGATACTCTGCCATTCTGCATCTTCAGGGAAAGTTGCTGGGTCCCCTTTTAGTAATTTAATCGTATCCTTTGTGTGGTTAATGATTAGAACATTTATGAGAAATTGAGGCCTTGTGTCATCCACACAAGCAGAATACCCAACATTGAAAAGCACCGCTTTCAACTGACAACCTGTGACTTGTGGCACCTTCAAAATTACGGAGCATCCTTCACCCTTGAAGATGAACCAATCAGAATCCTGATCACCAGGTAGGTGAGAATCATCCCACCCACCATACTTCCATCCCTGTATTGCATCAACACAGTAACTACATAATAATGTGCCCAAAAACGAAAAGAAAGGAGCATAAATCTTTATTAGAGCATGAGGGAAGTAATTGTTCACGTTTCTGTTTATTATTGTCCGTAAACGAAAGTGAAGCCTTTTCATCCTTATATCAACACAGAAAACAGACACACGCGCTAAGTATAGCTTAAAAAAAAAAACAAAAGAAAAAGAAAAAGAGACAAACCTGTGAAATTTTCTCTTTTAGCAACTCTGCTTTGTCGCACTCTCCCAGTTGAAGTAAAAGAGAATTGACGGAATCCGCTGACCTTGCACTGTGAACTTGGTCATCATGGCCCTTAGATGATGCAGAAGCTTCCATTATTAAGATCTCGGGTGTATCTTGAGTTGATTTAAATTCCATAAAATTTTTCTCATACAATGCATCCAAAAGTTTTGCCATTCTTTTATTAAATCGAAACTGTGATCGACATTGCTCCCACGTACCTGGAAGCTTCACAAGATCGCCCAGAAATTGACATAGACCACGCAAGCCACTATTCCATCCAATGGAGGCAACTATAGATGATACGCCTTGCACAGATTCTTCAATACGGGATTGAGGAAAATCATAAGGTGACGTCCAAGACCATATGAGAGAAGGAAATATGTCTTGCCCTCTTCCTTCATGACCAGGGAAAGAGACATATCCATGCTTAAGCCCTTCCAATCTTGGTAATGACTTGGGTAGTTGTGTTATGGAAGTGTTATCTGCCATAAGAATTGTCAAGGACCGCATTTGCTCAATATCATCTTCTAAATGGTCAATCAATGAACAACCAGAAATAATGAAAGTCTTTAATGATTTCAACTTGTAGATGCTTCTAGGAAGATCTTTGAGGCTCTTGCAATCTTTGAGATTAAGATGGAGGAGAGTTTTTAGATCCCCAATGCTCTCTTGAATTAACATCAAACTCTTACAATCTTTTATCATAAGCTTTTCAAGTTTAGGTAGATATGTAAAATCAGGAGTTTGTGTCAAGGAAGGTGAATGGCTGAGATTGAGTGTCTTCAACATTGGCAACTTCTACAAAACACGCATGTGAAGTATTAGAAACTTTAGACAAGAAGAATTATATGAGTGTTGTTGATTATCTTCATAGATTGTAACAACAAACATATATACCTTGGACTCTTTCCAAACTACTTTGAGGTTGCTATATTTGAAGTCAATAGCAACTAGTTTTTCTTGGTAAAAGTTGTTTGGAGTGTATTTTGATGAAAATCCATGCCAACGAACCCACCTCAACTTTTTGGAAAGGTGTTTATAATCTCCTTTAAGATTTACATAGTCTAGTTGGAGCAATCTGAGTCTCTTCATCTTCTTAAATGCCTTAGAATCGATGGGATCTCTATGGGTTTTTGATACCTTTAGAGATATACCCTCAATAGCTTCGGTTCCCTATAAATACATAGGAGGAAAAAAATGTTATAAGCAAGGAAAAACATATGATAAATGTTGGAACAAAGCCAATCAACAGCCAACATGTATATATCTCTTGATCTTGCTTCTTATGTACAAGATTGCTACGACAAAGGCTATGAAACACGTATAATGTAGCAATGAAAAATGAAGATGATAATTGTATTTTAGAAAAAGATAATGCATTCCTTGACATCAAAACTTACAAAATAAAGTAGTATATTGAGAAAATGCTTACTGTATGATCTGTTAACACATCAAGCACATCTTCTTGAGACCATAGTCTGCTATGTTTCTTAAGATCTTTAGGTGGGCTTCCACGGATGATTTCTTTTCCCATTTCTTGTAATAAATCATGCATTTCAAGCTTATTATTTCTACCTACTCTCACCAGGCTCCGCTCTATGAGGATTTGTAATCCATTTTCTGCATAAAGTTCACAACCATCTAATATCTGTGTAACATAGTTCCTGTCCTTATTGATAAAGAAGCAACATATGTCAAGGAAAATATCCTTCTCTGTATCATCATCCAATCCATCATAGCTTATTTTTAACTTTTCATGTATACTTTTAGTAAGAATCCTTTGTAATTTCGACAACACATTCTCCCATTGTTTAATTGTTCTCCCACGCAAATAGGAGCCAAGGATTTCAAGAGCCAGTGGAAGTCCATCACAATATCCAACTACCATTTTAGACAATTCTTTGAAGTCTTCCTTGGGATCGGCTTGCTTAAAGGCATGCCAACTAAAAAGCATAAGAGACTCCATTTGATTCATTTCTTCTATTTCATATTTGTGGTCAGCATTAATGGCATCAAGTAAATGGCTATTTCTAGTTGTTATGACCACTATACTTCCAGGACAAAACCATTCAAGACTACCACAAAGTGTGCTCAGTTGATTGACACTGTCCACATCATCCAATACAATAAATGATTTTATGTTGGGAAATCTTTCTTGAATTATTTTTTTTCCTCTGTCAATGTTAGGTATCTTGGAAACTTTTACTTGAAGTATATCAAAAATGAGTTGCTTTTGCAAATTGACTTGGCCATTAACATGCTTTGAAGTTTCTCTTATATTTGCAAGAAAACTTCTTGCTCTTCTAAACTCAAGGCCAATTGTATTGTAAATGGCTTTGGCGGCAGTTGTTTTGCCAACGCCTCCCATCCCCCAGAGGCCTATGATAAGAGGTTTTTGGATTTTGTTTTTCCCTGACCATTCAATTGTCAATTCATCAACTCGAAGCTTTATTCCCACTGGATGCTCAGCTACAACCAATTGTCCAGTGTCTACTCTTTCTGAAATATGCTCAATAATAGTCTGAATCATATCACTTTCAATCCTGTCAATATTAATTATCAATGAAAAAACTATAATCAGCCACATAAACAACATCATTATCAGAAATAAAACCAACAAGACTTATTTTTAAACAGAAGAGTTTGACCCATCATCATTTCCTTTCACTTTTTTCTTTCTTTCTTTGTTTTTTTTTAATGAGAGCTGGTTTAGAATATATTACCAATTTTGTGATAAATCAAAGCCGGCAAGTTTGGAAATGTAATTGAGTGCCTTCCTCCACTGCATCACCCGATCACACTCTCTTCCAAACCTTTCCTCGTGTACTTGCATGGCTTCATCATATATGGCTGTCTGATGGCGAACATCAGATGGATGTACGTGATAGAATATGGGGATAATTATCTGATCTAGATTTTTTCGACACTCCATTATTTTTACCAGTTCATCCAGACACCATGTGGAAGACGCATAATCTGGAGACAGAATTACGAGCGCAATTCGGGATCTTTCAATTGCTTGCAATAATGAGACGGAGATCTCTTCTCCCCTTTCAAGCCTTGTATCGTCCATGAAAGCATGGATTCCTGACTGCCTTAGAGCTTTATAAAGATGAGAAGTGAAACCGCGACGAGTGTCTTTGCCTCTGAAACTCAAGAACACGTCATAATTCAACCATTCATCAACTTTTAGTTTATGAACTTGTGACTGTATTCCCGTTGGATGGTTAGAAGTAGACGGTAATTCTCGTGAAACTTGCTCAACAATTTTCTCAACCAGCTCACTTTCAGTCCAACTGTCAACATTAAATTAAACATCTTTGAAACAATAATTAATTAGCATCATTATTAGAAATAAACCAGCAGGACTAATTTTTAAGCAGAAGAACTTTATTAGACCATTAAGAGTAAGAGATGCAATAATTTAGGTACTAAATAAGTGTATTATTTTTTGACTAAGGGGCAAGCATTAATAAGCCTAATATTATAAGCGAGATCAAATTGTCTAGGAAAGCATTTCATGCATGAGCTACAACAAGCTAGGCTACTAATTAATTATGTACATCTATCAAAGGAAAACTGAAATAGAATAGGAGAAGGATTCAAAAAGCCAAGGGCAAAAGGAGGCTGTTGTTGTTAATATATTTTTAATTAATTAGATCATCGTCTGCTCATATTTAGAATTAGCACAGAATCACAGGATTCTATATTAGAATTAAGTAAGAAAATTTGATTAAAAACCTTTGTTTGAAAATTTAATTGACTAAAAAAATCTAAATTTGATGGAGTACAAGTAACAACAATAAGCACAGTAACCCAAATAAAGATGTCTCTAAAAGTTGCAAAAATGAAGAATTTATGCAAGCAAACATGTCCCAATTGTTCCAAAAAGTATAGAACTATATTTATGAAATAGGAAGGGATTAATCCAACAACCTGCTGTCTTGAGATGCTGAGTAAGTAAAGCCGGGAATTGTGGATATTTCGGCAAGTGCTTGCCTCCACCGCAACAACTGATCACGGCCCCTTCCCGGCGATAGCTCCTGTATTTCCATTGCTTGACCATATTGGCCTCTCAGATGAAGAACATCAGAGGGATCTACGTTATAGAATATGGGGATAACCACCTGAGCTAGACTTCTCTTACACTCCATTATCTTCACCAGCTCATTCAGCCACGATGGTGAAAAAGCATAAACTGGAGAGAGAATTACTAACGCAATTCTTGATTCTTCAATTGTTGGTATTATTGCTCCAGAGATATCCGTCTCATTCCATGGATGGTTCATGAAAGCATGGATTCCTCTCTGTTTCAGAGCATTATAAAGATGAGAAGTGAAACCACAAGTATCTTCACCTTTAACACTCAAGTACACATGGTTAGTCCAGGAAGAACTGCAAGAAGAAGAAGCAGCAGCGGCAGCCATGGCTTTTTGACGGAACCAGACAGCGGAGCAATGAAACGCTTCAACGGATCGCTTCAACAGGTATGTTTGGATTGGCGTTGGACAAAACTGACTTATAGTCTAACTGACTTTTATAACTGAAGTTAGAGTAAAAGTCAGTTAGTGTAATATGATTTATGTTTGGATAGGTGCTTATAAAAAGTCAGTTGAAAAAGTTAAAAGTTGTTTAGATAATTAATAGAAAAATTAGTTTAGTTGTAAGTGACCGAAAAGGGCATGGATTTTATTGAATAGTAGTGTTTGAAATTTAATATTTTTAATGTGATAATAGTTTAAAAAATACGTAAAATTATTATGATAAAATATAAATAGTTTATTTGTGAGATTATAAAATAAAAATATTTGTTATGGAGAAAAATTTGAAAACACATTGTAGATAATTAATTAAATATATATAATGGATAAACAAGAATATAAATTCAAATTTATTTGGTCTCTAATTAAAGTAAACAAAATCACATGACTAATTAGATCGTAAGCTTTGCACAATTTTCCCGTAAGTCAGTTAGAAAAGTTGATTCAGATTACGTTGGATAAGTCAGTTAGAAAAGTTACTTTTTCCCATAAGTCAGTTAGAAAAGGAGTCACATCCAAACAATCTTCTAAGCTGCAATAAGCCACTAACCTCAGTTTCACGCTTTCCCGTGTGTTTTTGGCTTCTCCAACTGCAATCCAAACATAGCCGCTATCTGCGAGAAAGCCAACCGACCTTCATAATAATTTAATTCAAAACGCCAGACTTAAAATAAACAAGTCAGTCAATTATTATTATTATTATTCTTTGGGGCCAGAAGTCAGTTAATTACTATAATTTAGTTACAGTTCTACCCTATCATTCTCTTACCTGCCGTTTAATTCATACGCATTTTTTGCGACGAAAAATTTCAGTATAAGAGATAATGAAATTGCGTACGCACAGCTATTCATTCTTCACACAGTCAAGATAATTTGGGATAAAAATGAAAAAAAAAGTACATTAAAGTTTTACACCATTATTAAGTGTTGTTTAATTTATATATAGGACTAACTTTACATGAGAATATTTTTTCTTATGCTACAGAATAGATGTGAGAGCATGTCACGCGCACCTGTACTGTATATATAATTAGAAGGAGTATTTTTCTTAATGAAATCAATCTCTTTCAAGACCCCAACATTCAATGTTTTGCAAATCAACTATCCAAAACACTAATTCACGCGTATGATCAAAAGCAGTTAAATTTTTTATAAAATTCTGTTAATCTTTAATATGGTCTTTTCTTTTACCAGCAATATTTAATATGATCTTTACTAACTACAATACATTCTAACATTATATTAATTTTTATACTTTCATTATCCTTATCAAATATGACCATATATAATAAAAATATTTAATATTTGGTCAAAGTATAAACGATGGAAAATTTCTTCTGATTAAAAAAATGTACTATCGGCTTGTTTACACCTATTTATATAAGTGTTTATAAGTACTTTCACATAAGCCGAGAGAAATCTATCCATACTTACCTTCTCATATTTTGTAAATCGCAATTGAAAAAATACTTTTGAAGTTTCCCATTACCATTCCAAATAAGCACTATAGGTAAAATTTGATCCTGGATGCGCATGATATAATAGTAATGAGCGTCAAATTATAAAGAAAGAAGCTTCTGAATTTTCCGACCGAAAAGGACTTTTGATTTTAAGAATATGCCTCACTGGTCCTCTTCTTATATTTTTAAGTAAATATCAATCTAACTAAAACACAAATTCCATAAAAAGAATCCCATAAAAAGAAACTTAAAATTATTAAAATTGTAATCAGATTTGACAACAACATTTTATTTGGTTTTGACAAAATAATAACAAATTTTATTGAAATTCTTTATTTGAGATATAGTGATTTAAAACTATTTTTATAGGATTTTTCCAGTTTTATAGTAAATTATAGGTAAAATTTTACATAATCCTTTTGAACTTTACGTTATGTATGGATAATATTTCCGGGAGCCTATGTAAAACTGTGAAGTGAAATTCCTAAACTCTCACATCTATACATATAATGTTGAAGATTGGGCATTAGGCCAATCAATTGCATGAAGACAATTCGTCTTCATGATTCCATTTGTGTGGATACTTATTATGGGTAGTCATTCGAGGAGCCGCACCAACGATCTAAATTATTTCAAGTTCAATTTGGTAAGTTACCTTTTCTCTATTTGAGAACCTTTTAGGGGTCCCTGGGGGGTGTCTTGGAATGAACTAAAACCCAACATATATAACCCTCCTAAGATTATTTTGTGTACTAGGTATTTGCACAAATAGCTTAAAGTTTGAAGAGACTAGTAAAAATAAAGTCTACGATAATTTATAATTGATGGTTAGAAGTTATCTCAACTTCTTCCTTTGTGATTTGACGCTGATTACTATTACTTCATACATATCAAGAATCAAGGATCAAAAAATCGACTAACCCTTCCTGTTATCTTCATGTGAATTACTTTTAAAGAATTAATCCGAATACAGTACTAGCATCTCAATGTGAAAACTTCCCATGACTCGAAGAACTTCCCAACACTCTCGTCACACCAATTAAACCCAGAAAGCTACTTTTGCGTTGGCAAAAAAGAAAACTACTTTTTTTTAAAAAAAAAAATTGCTTTTGCACGGAGAGATGTCCTCCAAATGTGGTCCAAACACGTCTTTTGTCCTCATCTCTAACTCTAACCCTATTCACTATCCTTGATCTGTCAGTCAAATTTTCTGCGCATGCCCATAAAGCATGATGCGGACATTAGAGTGTGAATGCGGGAAAGGTGAGTGGGTGAGCCCAGCGTGAATGCTGGAAAGGTGACTAGGTGAGCCCCTTTTGTTTGGTGTAGTCAGTAGTGCACTGCCTCCTCTCCTGATTATAATATCTTTTTGTAATATGTAAACCAGATTTTATAAGTAGGATGTGAGATATTTTTACTTCTTTCTCCATTATAGAGTAGCCAGCTGTAGTTAAATTGATCAATTTACTTTAAAAATTAGTTTTATAAAATTAAATTACTTTTAAGAAATTAAATTAAATTTCTAAATTTAATGGACTCTTATAAAATTAATAAATTTATTTAAAAAATTAAATTAAATTTCTAAATTTAACGGACGCTGTTTGCTGCCCAAAATGCCAGACTTAAAAGAAACACTAAGTAAGTCAATTGTAAAATTTTTTTTTTTGGGCCAGAAGTCAGTCAATTATTATTATTTAGTTATAGTGCTACCACATTATTCTCTGATGCCGTTCAAGTCATGCGCTTTTTTTCATGGAAGGGCCTCTGCTGCCCCACCGAATATCTCAATTCCCCTTGTTACTTTGTTGGAATGCTGCCCAGAAAGATCTTGCTGGTTGATTTATACACCGTAGGCCAGCCCTAGCTCCAACATTGAGATGAGGTCCATCAATATATTTCTTTGCTTGGAAATTTATTTCTAGGGGCATAAGATAGTGGGGCATTAGAGCTCCTTGTCCTATTTTTCATGATAAAAAATTTTCATTCTGAGAGAGAGAATGAAATTGCTCACACATATTCATTTTTTCAGAGTCAATTCTATTTGAAACAATGGTTAAGGGGGTATTTGGGTTCCAACCCAAACCATGGTTTGGGAAAAAATCTCCCAAACACCCTTAAAAAATCTAAAACCATGGTTTTGAGTCAAAACCATGGTTTTGGGAAAAGCAAAAATTTTTTGCTTTTGGAAAAAAAAAAAGGAGAGTATGAGAACCTATAGAATATGTATTTTGTTGTTTTTTTTATAAACATATTTTTTTATAAATATATTTAATCTTATATCTTATAAATATATATACATATTAATTATTTATTAATTATATATCTTATGTATTATTAATTATGTTAATAAAAAATATATTATTAACAATTTTATTCCTTCAAATTAAAATATATCATAAAATATATTTTTTCTGTAATTATCATATTAACTTATGCCTTTTTTAGTAATTTGTACATGTAAAAAGTGCTTCTAATAACAACTATCCAAACACTCTCACTTCTTAGAATCACTTTTTCACAAAATCTATTCTTCAAAAAATCTATTCTCCCCAGAATCTATTCTCCAGAAGCTATTCTCCAAACCATGGTTTGGTTATATCCAAACACCCCCTAAGACATCAATTGTAATAAAATAAAATAAAAGGCATTAAATTTTTAGAACATAACAAAGTTTTTATATAAGACCCTCTATGTGAAAATATATATATTTTTGTTTACTATGTATTTGCAGTATGAAGAGACTAGTACAAATAAAGTTTGAGACAATCTATAATTGATGGTTAGAATTTATCTCAACTTCTTCCTTTGGGACTTGATGCTGATTACCATCATCTCATACGTATCAAGCTTGAAGGATCAAAAAGTCGACTAACCCTTGCTTTTATCTTTATTGTGTCATTCCTTGTAGCAGATCCACAAGATGGAAATAAATATAAAATACTACCTCCAGTCCTAATTATAAAACCCAGTTGACTAATTTGATGAAATTAAGGAAGTAAGTTGAGTTAGTTATTTGTCCTAAATAGGTGTTGTCTTTCCTAAAATATCCTTGCTAATCAAGTGTATTGACTAGAACTATCATTGTTAGAAGAGCTACTTTGGAAAAAAAATATATAAATATGGGAGACAAAGTGGATAGGAATCTTATATTTAGAATCAAAATAAAAGTCAAATAGGATCTTATATTAAAGATCGGAGGTAATAGTAGGTTAGAATAGAATTATTTTAGGAAGAGAAGAAGACGAGGGGCATCTCCCTATAGAATAGAATTATTTTAGGGAGAGACGAAGACGAGGGGCATCTTCCTAAGAGTCTACTAATAACAAAAAAATATAAAGGAAAAATGATGAAAAGGAAAAGGTGGAGAAAAAAGACACTTCTCCCGTTCAAAATATGAAATAAACTTTATTTATTTATATTTATCAA